CATGCTGCCTACTGAACAGTAGCATTATTTTCGACACCCACAAGCTGCAGAGGTGGCAGTGACCAGTACTCCCACTGTGAAGAAAGAAAACCAGTACTGAGTGAGATCAGGGTCATAAGTACATAAATTTATGGAGAAGATACACAGGTTACACTATTTTCCTTTTACTGTGGTCACTAGAATGGAGAACCCTCAAAGACAACATAAGGGGAAATCCAAGGACAAGAGAAATAACGGCCAAGGAAATGGCTTGGGGAGGGAATTGACCAAGAGAAGAAGGGAGAAGGAAAAGAGAGGATCTAATTCTTCACTGGCTGTGTTGTTGACTGAATTGTGTCCCCTCCAAGTTCATATGTGGAAGCCCTTGGCCCTAATGCAGTGGCATTTGGAGGTGGGGCCTTTGGGAGGACATTAAGTTTAGGATGAGGTCATGAGGACGGGACCCTCATGATCAGATACATACTTTAAAATGAGACACTACGAAGCTCCATTTCTCTCTCTTCTCTTTTCCCTCATCCTCTCTGTCTTCTGAGAACATAAGAAGCTGTTCTCCACAAGATAGAAAAAGGAGAAAATGAATTAGCTAGCACCTTCGTCTTTACCTTCCCAGCCTCCATCCAGATCTGTGAGAAACAAATGCTTATTACTTAAGCTACCTAGATATTTTATTACAGTAGCTTGATCCAAGAGTGCTAAGACAAGCCAAGAACACTGAGTGAAGACCTTCTCTTAGAAAATGCACACTTTCCATTTTTCTTCAGTTCAAATTTGCTGAGCACCACCTGGGCCAGAGTTACACACCACTATTGGAACACACGGCTTCTCAAGCTGAGTTCCTCCCTTCCACAGTGACGCACTCCTGATCTAGTCCTGCTGTCCCCTCAGCAAGCTGGGATTCCTATGTACCTAGCAGATCTTTGGGAAACACAGTGGTTTTCCAAATTTTGGAAGGGGAAACTCAATAATTACTTGGAGGTAAAGAGAGAATATTTTCTGACTACAGAGTAGCTCTACATGGACACTATTCAATATTGCAAATTGGTCTGAAAGACATTTTTTTAAAGAAACTCTACCTCATAGTTTAATATGGATACACAGATTTATGGCCTAAAACAGAGTTTTCCAACTGAGTCACCCAATTAGTAGCATGTGAAATCACATGAATTTTTCCAATACTTTTAATAAAATTAAATAGCATTGAATAGAAAGTGTTAGAGTATATTGTTGGTAATAAGAATGTGCATTATCTCATGAAATTGTTTCTGTTTCACATACATGCACATCTCACTATCTAAATATATATATATAAATATATATGTCAAGGGTTGTCACATAATTATTGGCTATAATTGAGTTTCCACATACATGTTTTTGTTTCTGCAAATCAGGTTAGACAGTGGGTATTGATGTTCACTGCCTAAAGTAACAATAGTAAGTGAAATAGCAACTTTTTAAAAATCCAAAATAATTTAACACATTGTTATTTTTCCCAATTATCTTTCATTTGGTTTTTTCAGCTTATATATCAGGGAATGCATTTAGTTTAGTCACAAGTGTTCTTTGTATCTGATGCAACAGGTATAAGCATAAAGTAGAAAAGTAACGAGAAACTAGAGTCATTTATAGCTAAATGGATGCATATTGAGGCCATACTCTTAAGTGAAATAAATAGGACACATATGTATAAATATTGAATAGTTTCTCTAGTGTGAGAAAATGAAAGTGTAAATAAGGATGAAAATGATTAAAATGAATAATTGATAATTTGAAATAGGAAAAGGTCCAAAGATGGCGGGGTGGTGGGAGGGGAAAGGGAAAAGGAAGAGAGGAAGGGAAAAATGATGAGAAAGAAAAAAAAAATGGAAACAAAGTCTATGTAAATAGGGAAGGGTGGAGGGGGTGAAGGGTGCATAGGTAATGGGGAGAAAATAAGAACTAAGATACATCATGTTCAGGTTAAAAACACCCAATGATAAATGTAAATGTATTGTATACCTAAAATGTACCAATTAATATATAAATTTTTAAAAAGTAACTAAAGAGAGGGCATAGGTTTGTATGCACAAGGCCAAATCCCCACCATGAAACAGACCATCCCAATTGCTGTCATTCCATGCGCCAAACCACTGCGCAGAATCTGAACCACAGGCAAGCTCTCCTCTCCATCAGAAAAACCTTTCAAAATGCCAGTTCCTCAAATCACTGGGCAAAAGACCAACTGCTATCTAGGATATAGAACTCTGAAGAGGATAACGACTAACTCATATTTTTTAAGTAGAACTGAGTTTGTTAGTATATTGTGATTTTTATAAATCATAATTGTAAATATTTTCAAATGTTATTTTAAAAATTAGTTTGCATGACACTTTTAAATAACCCATCCACATACATCCATAACTCCCGAAAGGAAGTTATTTCCTCTTCCCTGGTTTGAATGGCTACACATGGATAAAAGCTTCCAGCACCTGCCTTCACAAGTACCATCCAGTGGCTTTATGGTTAGAGCCATGGAAATGTAGCTCCCCTTGAGTTCCCAAACACATCCTCAGTTTCCATTGTGTTGTTCCAACCATCATTAGTCTGATCTTGAAATGAGGAGTCACGAGTTTATAACAAATAGTTTTAACAGAGGACCCAACAACTCCCAAGTTAATCTGATGGGGATTGTCTACACTCTGAAGCTAATCCAGTGGCACCACACAACACCAGAAGCATTGTTCTCTTAGCATGTCAATGACAACTGTGCACTAATTAATTAAATGTGTTGTCCTTAGAGTTACCACTGGCAGGCAGATTTGATTCAAGACTGAGAAAAAAGACTTCAAGCCAATGAACGACCTCAACTTGGTCACCAGGGTTGGAAGGAAGGAGGCTTTAGTCACTTATCAATATCTAAAATGATAATTCTGTTGCATACTTTGGATTTATAAATTCTTAATAATCATATCTGGAATACTGGTTGCTTCATATTTTAGGTTTATTTTGTTGAAAAATATAACTTGGGTTATGAAACAATAACATTTCTCAAAGTCTTAACCAAATAGTGTAAGTATACACTTCGCCAATGCTGGCATCTACAGAGAACTTATCCAATACTACACAATGCTGCTGAAAACAGCCACAGAAATACAAATTTTTAGCTTTTATTCTCAAAATACTTAAATCCTGCTATTTTTAAGATAGCAAAAGACTAGATAGCAGAGAAAGAGTCTTAGCAATATATGATAGGTTTATATTTATCACCCCAAATTTACAACGTGTAGCACCAAACTTAAAAAAAGAAAAAAATTTAAAATTCCTTTGGTTTTCCCTATGTAGTCTACCATCTACCATCTCATATATGTGTATAATTGACAGGGTTTTTTCTTCCCACTTTCCCATCCCCCAAATTGAAAGAAATTTCTCAAGTTTCCTGATGGCAAACCTTCTTTATAAAGACAACATATATTTACAAGTCAGAACCAATTAGATGATCTGGGTTAGATGTTACTCAGAAGGCAGTTAGATGTGCTGCTGGGACAGTCCCTGCAGCAGCAGCAGCAGGCTCTTTCTCTACTATGTGGCACTTTCTGGAACTGCAAAGAAACAATTTTAAGTTGATTATCTCCTCAATCAAAAGTTAGCACTGCACCACTGCAACCCATCTTAGAATTATGATAGCCTTTGAAACTTACAGAAAGAAAAACTTACATTTCATTTCTACGTACATACAAGAGACCTTCAGGTGACCGTTAAAATAGTGGATCAAAAATGGATCTGTGTAGATATTACCCAATGCTCAAAAATTGACTTTTTAACTGAATTTTTATTCAGAAGTTTTGCATTTTTTACACACACCACTTGTACTCAATGAGCCTTTAATATTAACAGCAAAGCAGAGGAAGGGAAGTGACCCTTACATCCTCTCACTGAGTACCAACAGACAGAAGAACCTGCTCTGTGTGGTCTCTAATGGCACTTTAAAAAAAAAAAAAAAAAGAGAGTTAGCTAAATTATTTCCAGCAAAATGAACATGAAAATGAAAATGAAAATGGAAAGTAAAATTACACAGAAGTTGCAACTTGTCAACAGTTGAAATTACATCTTCACATTCCCTGCAATAAAAGATCTGCATAAACCGAGTGTTGAAACCAAGTCACCCTACCCATGGACAACTGAAAGGAAGGGAGAGAAGGAAAGGAAGGAAAGAAAAACAATTCAGTGGATGAAAGTGTGAGGACATATGGAATCATTCTCACGGTGGAACCGCTACCTGTTTGGATCTTCAGGGGCAGAGGTAAGAGCCATTTCTGCTTCCCTAGGGAGACGGGTTTTGCATACATAATTTAAATAAATCACTCCAGCCCAGGAAAGAAGAGCGGCAGAACTCTTCTCCCTAATTACCACTGCCTGGCCCCTTGTGCTGCTTTCCCTTTAAAGCCACGCTACTTCATTATCCTGCCTTTAACTCTCAAATGATTCATTGCCTGCCCCCTTAGCTCCAGAGCACACTCTGCAGGGAAGCTAGTATTTAAGTTTAATTTCTAGTGCCACTGGCTTTGGAGAGCTTGATGACAGTAAGGAGGAGGAATCTAATTTAATAATGTTGTCATGATTGGGAGGGACACCCTCCGACCCCCACCCCACCCCCCCAACAGGAACTAAACAGGACCCTCTGGCGAGCTAGCACAGCGAGGAGCAAAGACACTATTTGAGAAAGAGGGGCCCACGTGCGGTAAAAGCTGTCACCCAGAAGTGGCAGCCGGGCGAGGAGGACCCCAGAGGGCGGGAGAGTCGGGGCCTAGGCGCTCGGGGGACAGCAGAGTAGCACCTGAGAAAAGCTGAGCTCTCTCCCAGAGCCTGCCTGGGGGGAAAATCAAGGGCAGAGAGACTCCCGCATACACGGGAGCTGTCGCTCCGAGAGGGGCAGCCCCATGCACGCTGCAGCCGTCCCCAGCCCCAGCCCGCATCTCCTCGGAGCCCGCGCGGTGCAGGCGCGCCCTCCTTCGCCCCTGCCTTACCGTCCCAGCTCCGACTCCACCTCGAAGAAATCGCTCAGAGCATCCCTGTTGGAGCCGTCGATCCAGTAATCCGGGACGAGGCTCCCGGCCCCCGGGGCTGCACTGGCGGTGACCGAAGAGCAGGACGAGGAGGAGCAGGAGGGCACGGTGACTTTGAGCATCTTCGCGGCGGGACTCCGGAAGCCGGCGCCGCTGCAGCCGCTGGCCGAGCTGGAAGCCCCGCCGCGCCGCCGCCTGCAGCCGAGCCGAGCCGAGCAGGAGGTGGCGTCCTCAGCGCGCTCCTACCGCGCCGCCGCGCCCGCGGGAGGGGGCGGAGAAGGGGTGCGCGGCCGGGGCGTGCGGAGGGAGCCCGGAGTCGCCGGCAGCCGGGGCGAGGCGGGCAGGCGCGGGCACCGCGGAGCACGCTCTCTCCCCTCTCACCCTCCCCACCTGCCCTCCCACCTCCTCTCCTCCCCGTCCCCAGCCTTTTCAGCCCCCTCCCTTTTTCCTTTCTCCCTCCGGAGCTGCGGCGGCGGCCGTGCCAGCGAGGGCGGCTCCGGATGCAGGAGCCTGGGGGCGGCACATGGACCCGAGCATCATCCCACGCGCCCTCCTTCGGGAGCCCGGAGCCCGGAGTGCGACCGCGCGCCAGGGGATGCGCGCTCTGGACTGGATGGACAGAAAGGGACCTACATGTTGTGGGCGCAGCGCATTGCTCCTTGAGATGTCTCCTGGCCAGTCGCTCCCGCCCAGCACGAGCTAGCCATCTCTTTCCCGCCCCTGGGTCAAAGCTTATCCTGGTGGCACAGGAAGGTGGCCTTTGGGTGCCGATCGCCCAGGGCTCCTGTGCCCTGACCCAGTGAGACCGGGAAGAGAGGGGACGGCCTAGGTCCACCCTGACCTAACTCACCTTTGAGTGAAGTCTTCAGTCGGAATAGATGCTCTCCTTGCTGCTGATGGCACTGCTGGAGTGCCTGAAAGGGCACATGCTTGGCCGTGTCTAGTTCAGTCTGAGCATCTAAAGGCCAGCAACAGAAAGCGGCTCAGAGAATTGCATGTCTAGAAGGGCCCTGGAGAAGCCAACTTGTGGAACCTTCTGCCTTAAGGCAGGATCTGTCACCATTCAAGACAGAGAAGATTGCTACAGTTACAGCTCTTTCTGCTCCCCAAGAGATGCAAGATGTGTATCCAATCCTAAGCAATCTAATGTCCATCGCCTGCCATGGCTATTTTAAGTACTGGCTGAATGTATATCACTTATATTTCTACCCTTGAACTTTTTCTTTTCAGATTTCAGCATAAACAAGTAGTTATTA